GAACGTAGGATTTTATCAAGTATCCATTATGTTTCAGTAAGGGGAAAATCCTAAATGAAATGAACATCCATGTTGTTTTTTGAGGTAGAGTAGAAGAGTTACCACATTCTACGGAATTTGCTAGGAAAGAATGTACTTTCGATCTTGCTACCTAGGCATTATAGTCCATGATGTACTTTTAATGCATACGACCAATAAATGTAACCTTCACTTCTCTAGAATTATTCTAGCAAACTGTTCATCAATTAATAGCAGCAGTAATCAATATTTAGAGCTCGCAATGTATCTTGATGAATGTAATTTGTTGACACAAGCGTTTGGTCGGCTTCTTGATTGGAAGCTTCTTGTGAAGGCAGTAAAAAATGATGATGGCTGCATTTATTATTTTTGTGAAGAGGTTTGAATACATGTTCAGTGAGTGACAACAGATTTCATGTAGCCTTAATTTTGTTAATTGCAACACTTTTAGAAGCAGGATGGATTCATGAGAGCTGCATGCATGATTAGGAGATACAAATTTGGACAACTTCCATGGAATGGATAACTAAATCAGACATGCACTGTTTTCAATTTGTTAAATTTTCTCTCAGACTTATGATGATATTTAGTATGGATGGCATAAGTTTGTGCTAAATTGAAGATATTACTAAATCGAGGTGGATATGCCGTTGCAAAATTGAAGGGTGTATTCTTTATTATTATCCTGTTATTATGAATAAATGATGTCAACAAGCAGTGCAGGACTTGAGATAACTCATGAAAATAATGTGACTCATGCTCATAGTTTATCGGTCAAAGATTACTATCCGGTCTTAGAATAGCTTTTTGGCACTGATTTTCTTGCACCTTATAGATAGAATTTGATGGAAATGCTGTGTCTCCAAAACCCTTCTGGATTCAGACTTAATGAAGAATCAAGCACATTCTGCATGAATGTTATAATAAATGTTGCATAAAATCTTATGCCTTGCTTATGTTCTTTGATAATTTGCAAGTTGACTGTACTATCTGAAGTGCTTGAATTTCATAAATTTTTTCCACACAACCCATAAAGTTGTACATTGTGATGTTTCTTTCAAGTGCAACGAGCTAGTATCATAGCTTGTGCAACATATCTTTTGCATGTCGTCTCTTTCATTTGTTGAATAGACCTTTTAGCAGAACACCTGAAGAATCAATATTTGGATCTCATTATTTTCAGATATTAATGACAGAAAGGAATAGTTTATTATTCCTGTTACTCTCTTAATGGAGCTTTAGGTGGGAAGATATTATTTAGTGCAATAGAATATGCATTCACTTGCATTATGTCTGTCTCTCTTCTTATGGGCCTCGAATGTCTCTCTCTCTTTCTTGTATATGGATTCTCTTTTTTGAATGCAGGTCATTGTTTGCCTCAAAAGCCATTCAGACTGGAGACTGCATCATGAAAGTTCCTTACAATGTCGTAAGTTCCTTGTTACATACCTAACCCTTATAAGATCTTTTAATCATGAAAAGCATGCCAATTACATAATATTTTCTTATTTTACCTTCCAGCAACTAACACCAGATGATCTTTCTCCAAAAATTAAATCTTTGTTAGCTGATGAAATTGGAAATATTTCAAAGCTTGCTACTATTATTTTGTTTGAGCAAAGTAAGGGTCAGGTAAAATTATTATTATTATTTTTTTCACATTTCAATTGGAAATTTAGGCACTTGTGCAAAAACTATAAGACATTTTGGTTATTTCCTTTGTTTATGCTATTTTAGCATCTTTCGTAAACTATGAGGAGGCATTCAGATCTAAACGTAACTTATTTATACCTTTTCCATGGCAGGATTCTCAGTGGGCCCCTTATATTGGTTGTCTTCCTCAACCTGGAGAGATTCATAGCACTGTAAATGCTTCTTCTATCACTATTCTATTTTATTGTTGTTACTTTATTTTTTTCTTCTATCACATCATTCTACCATAAATATTTAGTGTACCATATTTGTACAGTTACAAAGGACTGACTAATTTAATAATTTTTCTTTCCTGCTAATGAGATTTTTAGCAAAATAACATTGGCTAAATATCTAATAAATGGTAAGCTCCAAGAGGCTAGTTATAAAAGAAGGGGATTGTTGTCATAAAAAACAGAATGATCCTCTATGATTGTTAGAAGGAAGGTAAAAAAGTAAAAGCAATTTACCAGAAGGGATTGGAACTCAAACAAAGGACTTTAGTTGGGTGATTAAGTGTTGATAACAGCAAAGCTGAAGGCATGGGATGGTATTAGGACAAGAAAAGATCAGAAGAAACTCTTGTTCCCAACCCATTTAATTATTATTGCGTTCTTGGAAGAGATTAATTAGAAGATTTTTAGAAGGCCTCTCACGGTAAAGAAGATTTTTTTTTTTTTTGGAGCCTTGGGGATATTTTTAATGGACAATCTTTTTTGAGCCTTGTGAGAAAGGCTGCTCTTATGCAAGCACCAAAATCAATCATAAATAATAAAAGGGAGCCAAATTCAAGTCTAATCTGCATGGTGTTGGGAGGACTAATGGCCATAAGATTTTAGAGGAATATGGCTATCTTTATTAGTTTGTGAATTATTGCAGTGAATTACTAGTCTAATAGATTGGATCAATTATTCCAAAAGGTTAAGTTGATTGGATACATGTAACTTATTATTATTGATAAACTAATGCATCCCTCCATGCGAAAGCTGGCTTAGTTGAAAGCTTAGGTCAAGCATAGATCATTATATCTTGTATTGATTTTTCTTTTATTTAGATCTGGACGACAGCCATGATTCGAACTCCAAACTTTGGTTTTGATATCATGTAATAAATTGAGTTATCTTAAAAGGTTAAGCTAATTGGAATATGAGACAATTTATTCTTTCTAAACTAACAGCTAAAATTTTTAAGCAACAGTTTCAACCATTTTCCTCATCTTCATTAGGACATGCAGTTTCTGTATTTTGCATAGCTTCTGCTCTGACTCCTTGAACTCTTTTTTGTTTGTTTTTTCATTATTAACCTAACATTTGTCTAATTGAAGTCGTCTATTTTGCATTTCCTGAAATAAAGGGGTCCACAAGTTATATAACATGCAACTTGTTCTCATACATTGTAGATATTTTGGGGTGAGAATGAGTTTGATATGATTCGATGTAGCTCAATCTATCAGGAAACTATTAATCAAAAAGCTCAGATAGAGAAGGAATTTTTGGCAGTTAAGCAAGTAAGCGCATTCTGTTTACTTTTAATTTTATTTTGTTCTCCGATAGTTTCATAAACATATTTATCGTATGAGCGTGTTTGCGCACATGAAAGTGTTATTATCCCTATTTAGGATCTTGTTACAGAGAGATTAATGGTATGAGCTACTTAAGAGAGAAGCTAAAGATCTCCCAAAATTTGAGTTTAAAGTGCTCAAGAGTTTTTGTCTAAGTTCTTTCTCTAACTCCTTTTGTTACTGCAAAAAAGAATTTATTCTACAATAGACTGAATAACTACTTTACAGTAAATGTTTTCTCCTAGACTAGAGTTAATAGACTTGTTCAAATCATATAAACTCCAATTAAACAGGTGGCAGAGAAAACAAAGTACACTATTTTTACAATAGAGAACTTAGAACGTAGCAAGACAAAGAATAGAACATAACTATGTAAAACTACTTGGTTCCTTCTTTATTTCTTCTTCTTCTCTGCTGATACATCTAGTCAAAGCATGATTTTCATAACTTGAACTGACTAATCAGTGCCCATAACAGTCATGTCTCTCCATGTGTCTCTCCCCTTGCTAGAATTCTTCTCCTTGTCCTGTCTCCGTCAGTGACTATTTTCTCCATATTCTTATTCCTGGCTTCTTTATATAAATTAGAAGTTTGATTAGATTATGTTTGATAACTTCTTTAAGAAGGACTATAAACCTCTACTATTAGTCTAGGAATCTATCTGGGTTTTAACTCTTTTCAGATACACATGCTTGAAGTACTCTCTGTCAATTCTTTGGAAATGCTCCTATAAACAACTTTGCTTAAGTAATATTTCAATCGGCGCAGACCCCACTCATGATGATAGAAGAGAGGCCAAATTATACTGCTTAGTAGACCAGTAAGCTTGCGTAGAAAAAAGATAAAAGATAGGAAGAAGAAATTCTGTTGTGAAATTTTTATCCGGAGAATCAATAATTCAATATGAATAGTTGAGATTTCCTTTTTGAGGTGTAAAAAGTTGTTCACAATGAACGTCAGAGGGTAGCCAGAAGAATTTTCTAACCCTAACTCGCTGAAGTTGAGATATGAACAGACAATAAGGTGTATCGCCATTAGTTTTGATATAGTAGGGTGTTCTCATAGAAATTATTGGTGTAGCTGTCTCGTATGATCAAAATCTTCAGCAAATGAGCCAGTTGATAACGAGTTATATTATTTGATGTATAAAATTTATGGCATGGATTGAGTAACTGTTGCTAGACATGATGGGGGATTTACTAGTTACTTTTCTTTTTTCTCTTGCCCATCATTCAAATGATTATTTTTCTACTTAGATCATAATGATGGTAAGAAGTTTTGTTGCAAATCAGGCTGTGAGACACTGTTCTGAAGTTCTTGAGAACACCACCCTGAAGGATTTCATGCACGCATGCGCTTTAGGTTAGCAGCTTCATTTTTTTTTTTAATGTTTACCTCTGATCTCCTCCACCCTCTTTCCAAGCCCCATCCTTTGAATTTGGGTTATAAATTATAACAATTCCAAATTTCTGCCTGATGAGCTTATTTGGATTTTATTTTACTGGAAATAACATGCATTCTTTACTATGGGTGTGCTAATCTTCTTCTTGTATGGACAGTCATGAGTTCGTCATAATTGAGTCTTTGGTGTTAATGTCTTCCAAATTCCAGTTTTCACATTATAGATTGATTTGGTGGATTAACTTTAGAAACTCATCCCTCAGGTTACTATATTTTTGTACTTTCTGTTTGTGGGACAATCTGCTGGAAATTTAGGGCAATAAATTACATGAGGAGATTTGTGATCTTCTCACTGTTGTTATCTTTGCCATCAGTTAGGGGTTTCCATTCTTGAAGACTGATATGGGGTCCATTTCGGCATGAGTCTACAATCTTATTGTGCTTGATTTCATATTTTGTTTATGTTAATTTGTTCTAGCCTATAGTGAGCGAGGTTCTAATAAATATTAAAGGGTGGGTTTTAGTTGGCTCAGTTTGTTCTGTTGCTCTATTGAAAGCTGAAAATTCTTTCTGAAATTTCATGAACTTAACTGATCATTTTGTTTAGTCAGAGCCAAACACAATTGACCAAAGTACTGCAGCAAATTCGGTTTGTTCTTTCGGTTATTGGCCTCATATGCAAATACATTTAAGGATTAATTATCATCTTTTATAGTTTTATCTGGTATCAGAAGGTTTTGTTGGACCAAACTAAAAACAGAATTCAGAAAATTTTTAAAATAAAAAGTGAACTTAACCAAACTATTAAATCAAATGAAATAACCAAATAGAAATCAGTTTGTTCCAAATCAAATTATTTCGTTGTCTTTTGATTATCCTTTTCTGTTCATCCTACTGGTAGTGGATTTGTTTATTCGTGACCTTTTGTCTATTCTAACTAGTTCATAATTTGACAGTTGGATCCCGGGCATGGGGGAGCTCAAAGGGTTTATCTCTGGTATTGCTTACATACCGCACCTCTAGTGAATGATATCAAATACTTAATGTAATTTCATTTTAATGATTCAGTTATTTGAGTTATTAAAGTATCTTCTAGATTCCATTTGCAGATTTTTTGAATCATGAAGGGATTACTGAAGCAATAGTATTAAGTGACGAGGACAGACAGTTATCAGAGGTATCCTTTCTGTTTCAGTTCCTTAATTTTCTGTTAGGAATATATTAATAAAATTTAACTATGCATTCTTAGATTAGAGGTTTCAACTATATCTTGCCATGCAGATAAGATTATCATGCTTGATATAATGCTAAGCTAATGGGGTTAGTAGTTACGGCGACATAAATGTTTTATGATCTGTCTCTTGTTTGTATTTCAAATAAATACTAACTTTCCCTTATGAAAGTTGATTACTTGTTTCTACTACTTCTTGGTAGAAGTTACCATCTCTAATAGAACTTTTTAAATTTAACTGTGTAGGTTATTGCTGATCGTAATTATGCCCCTGGTGAAGAGGTACATACTATGATTAGAGACAGACTTTTTCGTATGAAAAACTGACTCTTTATGAAATATTTATACACTTTTTTTCAGTTGAGCAGTTGATTCATACATACGAATCTGTTAATTTGCTTGACCTTCTGCTTTCTGGAGCTGCTTTTGGTGTACTTGTGCCATTAGTACATAGATCTTCTTCATTTATTCCCAATAGTATTGTCTGTTTGTTGAGTTGCCTTATAGCATACCACCATTTGTATGATGCTTAAGTTTGATATCCTGTAACTTTGTGTTCTTCCTTTCCTTCGTTTTGAACTGACCTTATGCATGCTGAAAGCACTTCTAATCATACTTTGGCCATGATGCACTGCTAAAGACAACTTGCTGTTTAAGCACCGCATATACCTTTCTGATTAGCTTGAATGCTACTCTCACTCACACTGTTATATAAATTTTGGACTGAAGCTTGTACATGTGGAGAACTCGAAAACCTATCTATTTTACAAACTAGTGGGAATGGACGGACATTTTTACTTTATTGCGGTGATTCTGCAATGCTGGTTCTGTAATTTCATTTTTGAATAGCTTTAAAATTCATGGTCATCTGATTATTCTTCTTGTGTTTGAATTTTGAATTTAGCCATGTATTCTCGGAATCTTGTATAAATCTGTGCGCAGTAGTTTGAGCCTCTAACAGATAAAGCATCATATGGAAAAATAATTGAACTTTTTGTTCCTGAATCATTTTGTTTAGGTAGTGATACGATATGGAAGATTCTCCAATGCCACCCTATTGCTTGACTTCGGGTTTACTCTTCCATACAACATCCATGACCAGGTTAGTTAGAAATAAAATTTTAGACGTAGTGAGACACTTTTTGGTTCAGGGTTGAATATGATGGATCTTGATGCTTCTTAATAATGGTCTACCATTGTATCATTATACTATTATATTTTTTTTGTTGCCATGCACCATTCTTTTTTCTTCTTTTTCATTTTATGTTACGTTTTATTTTCTCCTTTCCTTGATATATCTCAATATGATGGCCTTGGGTGTATAGTTTGCACAGATTCAGCCGGGACCTTGTTTTTAAAGTTCAATCTGCTGCTACTATTTGTTGTATAAATGGTGTTGATGACTCACAGGTTCAGATTGAAATGAAGATACCCAGTCATGATCCTTTGTGCCAAATGAAGTTGGAGCTTATGCAAAGACATCATCTGCGAACTGTCAAAGATGTCAGTGATTTCAACTCCTTCAGGAATCCTTTCACAATCAAGTTGGTATTGAGGCTTGGTTCTAAAATCTCTAACATTGTTTCATTTTACATTAAAACCAAATCTTCAGATAGACCTAGCTCTTTCAAACTGGATAGAGTATAAACTACAAAGGATTTGGGTGAAGCTTGGATTTCAGAAACAAGTGTCTATTTTGTTAAATGTCTGAAAGGCTACCATGCATAGCTAAAAATACAGGATATTCCTTTCTAATATATGTGAGTGCCTTTGTAATCCTTCTCGTAACTTGAATTTTTCAGAACAAATTAAGCTGTATTTAGTTGAACATAGTGATGCATTCTTCATTAAGCAGCATAGGATTTAAAGATGTAGAAGAAGGAATTTAGCAGAAAGGCGTCAAGGAAGTGCCAGCAATTACTCTGTTTAGTGGACTTTGATCACAGTTCATGCTCACATGAAAATTGAACAGATGATGGCCTTTAATTATTATGTTTTGCTGGTCTCTATGTGGTCTTATGAGTTCACTCAGTGATTCGTTGTCTTCATATTTCAATTATGGAATATTATATATTTTTATAGCTCATAGGGCTGATGCACAACTAGGACGTGAGCTACATAACTCCCACAAAGGGAAACTACCAATTGACCTGAGGCCCTTGATTTTCTGTTTCACTTTGTTAAAGTTAATATCTTGAGCTGGAGAATTTTGCTTGTCCTGCTAACTGCTTCTAAGAGGCAAGTGACCTTGAACTCATGCTATGATGATTGCATTACCGAACAGGGAAGTAAAGTCTGCCACTGGGAAGGGAAAGGGTATTCCACAATCACTCCGTGCGTTTGCTCGTGTTCTGTGCTGCACCTCTATCCAAGGTATCCTTTTCATCAAATAGCTCCCAGTTTATGTAATTCTGTTTGTTCCACAGTCCTGGGATTTTGTTCTTCTATTTCCATGCGTTGCCCTGATCTAACTTGGTGATATTAATTGATTACTTAGAACTAAATGAACTGGCCATGGAGGCTGTACAGAATGACGGCCGACTAGCTCGGCGTCCTCTGAGGATCTGCAGCAAAGAAATCGAAGCACATAAGATCCTGTTATCACACATAACTCAATTAATTGAAGAATATAATGTTTCACTAGAGGTAAATTTTTTTTTTTTTTTTTGAAATAACTTCACTAGAGGTAATTTTCCGTGCCACTTTTTACATCAACAATTAAAGGGCTTTAGTTTTCACCTTGAATTGCAATGATTACTTCTGGAATTTATGTCCCACCAAGATTCCCTTGTTTTAAGACTATTTTCTGTTACTTCTTTTCCAATAAGTTCTCTATTAAAATTTGGCAGACTTGGTTTTTTATTTCTTCTTTTGCTATCATCTTGTTATAGATTACAGAAGCATCTCATTGTTGTTACATGGAGAAAGAAGTTATTTTCTCTCACGTTCTCTTTTTAATCGAAGAGAGGGGCTTGTTTTTATCTCAAAAATGGCATTATTCTTGGTTCTTTTATTATACATTTATTTTCATGTGTATCAAATTTCAAGTATATTTTATACAAGATCCTTTCATGTGCTAACAAGGTAATCAGAATTTATATTGATGAATGGACATGGGATGGAATGTTGATGTAGTCTTACTTTTGCTGGCTGAATATTATCTTTATAACATTATTGGTATTCATCTGTGTCAAGAATATAGCATCAATACATTTGATATCTTGTGGCTTTCCAAGTTACTTGCTTCTTACATTTTATTTTTTGACAGTCCTTGGAGACAGTTAATACCCCTTCTATGTATGGAAGATTTGCTCTTCGAAAGCAAATGGCCCGAGATCTTCTTACAGGTGAACTGCGCATTCTTAAATCTGCAGCTGCATGGCTAAGCAATTACTGCACACTCGTTCATCATTGATAGTGATACAGTGATTGTAAAATCATTCCATTATAGGCAGAGAAGAAGAGGTTTTGCATGTTTACAAGTTGGTGACTCTTTTTGCGATCAATTCCAGCATTTTTAACTGATATTTTATTGACCTATCTGAGAATCACTAGCAACTCAGCCAAGTTACATGAGCAACCCTCGTTCTTGAATGGGCAAGGGGAGGAGAGGAAAAAGGTAATGAGACTGTTTAGTTTGCACAGTGAAAACTATTTTTCTTCACTGTCATTTTCCATTTTAATGGTTCTCCCTCAACTAATATTTTATTGTGAAGACTAAATAATTCCATTCCTTTCTCCCCTTCCTCCCCCTCACCCCCGTCCCCAAGTAGAGCCTGGGCATTTGGACAATTAGCTTCATACAAACTCTTATTTCTGTTGCAAGCTGCTTGTGAACTTCAAGTTCTTGTTTATGAGGCACTGAATAAAGTTATATGCATGGGATCATTTATGCCCTGCTTAATTCTATAACATTTTTTTAAGTTTTAATTTTTTTAATTCATTAAATGTTTGTATAACCCCAAAATATAAATAGCTGTTGAAAATTACAACAATATGAAGAATAGGGGGTGAAAATTTGGCTAGAATATGAAAATATCTTCTTATGATTATGAGCTCATTCTATATTTTGGTTATTATTTTTTGAATTTATTTTCCTTTCAACAACTATACATATTTTGGGTACAAACATATATGAACTTACAAAAAAAAAACCCAGAACAATTTCCCACAATTAAACAAAATCTTGGAACTTCTAAAATCTGCTTTGAGTTTTCATTTTACGACTTTTAACTTCGTGCATAAACACATTGATGATTGTTGGGAAACGAAAACAAATGCTTGGGAAATGTTTTATTTACAAACACATTTATGAGGATCTCTCTCCCACCACTATATACTCAAGGTGAGTAGATTTTTTTTTTTCACCTTTATCTAACATCTCTATCACCCATTCAATTCATAAATTTTATTTAATTATATAAAATACTAAGTTTTAAAAATACTTTAAAATATTAAAGATTGAAGTCTGGCGACATTTCTCTTAGAAAATAAGTTTTATTCAAAATATATGAAGTTTCTTGGAACTAAATAGTTCAAAGAGTACTAATAATTCTACTTAAATTAAAGGTACTACAACATTACTTATCAAATTCTGGAATTTGGTTCTATTAATATACAAATCAATCTTTCAATAAAGGATTTGAACGTATAAATATCAAATAACAACCGAAACAATTAAAAGATTGAATAAAGCAATTATATATGTAAACAATTAGATGAGAAGCATAAATTTTAACCTTCATATCTTCATAACTTATTAAAACATTAAACTATGATGCTAGAAATTGATGAAGCATCTAAATAACGATTTAAGTAGGAGACATATCAATAAAAACCGAAATAAATTATACCATGGTAAGTTGCTTACCCTAAATTGAGGAAATTAAAGTGTTTTGAGTTTCGTTAGCCTTAAATTTGCAGCAAAACAACAAAAACATAAAGAAACTTATTAAAAAATCAAATTCTCTCGGCAACCCTTTCTAAAAAAGGTGTTTTGATCATTTTTCTCTTATTTTAGAGTTATTTAAGCAATTTATAAAAAGAGTTAAAATGACAAATAACTCTTGAACGTTGAAGAGAGTGATATTTATTAATGAGGTACTATATACTCCTAAATTTTATAAAAAAAATTGATATCTAGCTATAAAATATTATATAAAATATTTTCAAACTATTTTTAAATAGAAAGTGTAATTTATTAGATATATGAATTTTGTAAAAAATTAAATAATTAATGAAAATCATATGCATAGATAATACTTAGACACTAAAAATGATCACGTTCTCTAATTTTTAAGAAATTTGATTATTCAAATTTTATTTATCAAAAACTACGAACAGGTGTTGACACTTTTTTTTTATATTATTTTCGTACTCTTACTTTATTTCTTCTAATAATTGATGTTGTCATAAATTTTTTATAATTTTTATTATCAAGTACTCTTTTTTAAAAAACAAAATTTTTTTAATTGTAAATAGTCTTGATATATTAGAAGAAAAAGGAAATAGAAAATATATAAATCCATTATAGTTTCTTCTTTATTTTTGTTTTCTCTTATTATTGGGGAACACTTTTGTCTTTTACCAAAAAAAAATTTAAGTGTTGAGCATTTAAAGTATGTTTTTTCAGTTATTATTATAAGAAAAATCGTGGAATTATCTTTCATTAGTTTTTAATTAAATTAGATATAGTCAAGCTTAAAATTAAAAAATCTATTCAAATTCAATTGAGTTATATATAATATATTTTAAAATTTTCTCTTAAAAACATTTTTAATTTTAATTAAATACGATAATATATTTTTTGACTAGCTATATAATATGTATAATATTCAACTTATATATGTCGAATTTTATTGAAAATTTAATTATTTTTTTATATTAAAAATAAAAAATCTATTCAAATTCAATTGGTTTATATGTAATATATTTTAAAATTTTTTCTTAAAAATATTTTTAATTTTAATTAAATACTATAATATATTTTTTGATTAGCTATATAATATGTATAATATTCAAATGTGTCGAATTTTATTGAAAATTTAATTAATTTTTTTATAAAATTTATAAAATTTGTCTCGAACTTGATATATTGTTATTATTAATTTTAAAATATTATATACAAAATAACATATTTTTTAAAAAAAATTTGTAACGGTCCCGGAAATAAAAATGAAATGTATGTATTAAAAAGTTATAAGTGCGGAAGCGAAATAAAATTTTTGATTAATATCCCTTACACAATAACCAAAACGTATAAAACGTATGAAAGAATAAAACAACTAAAATAAATACTACTAATGAATGTTATAAATAAATCTATGAAGTTCTTAGTTATCTACTCGCCATCTTCCTGCGGGACGGGCGCGGGAACCAAGTCCTCCTGATCTGAAATGGTTAAGTAAGGAATGAACTACACTATCCCAATAAAGACATTAAACTATCTCACTGCCACAGAAGTAAAGGTTGGTAGAAAACAAAAACGACCAATGGAGCATAATTTATAACAAACTCATTTATCAATAATAAAAACTTTTACTGTCCACTTATCTCGGTGAGATTCATGAAGACAATTTATAAAACACAATAACATCATAAACATCATAAAATCATGCAGACTCGGTAATATAACACATATCATACTCTCGTTTTTCAATCATCAGACAACAATTTTTCTCTTTTATCAGCCTACTAGTATCCATGGGGATCCATAATGGGGTCCCTTCTACACGTGAACCATTCATATTGATAATTTGATTCCAGGGCCATCCCCATACCCCGTCCGTTATGGGCACAAAAAAAAAATATAAACCTCAATACCCCGTCCGGTATGATAGTGAAACCGGTCGTCCCCATACCCCGTCCGGTATGAGTGTTAAAACACATAAGGTCTCCATACCCCGTCCGATATGAGAGACCACGTTCCCGGTAGAGTTCCCTATGGATTCGGTCCGTCCATCATCTCTCAGGATATCTAGTGAGGCTGTTGACATTATCCATTTATCGATTCACATACTTTTTTCTATTTTTCTTGGTTTCAATTATCCAATCAAACATAAACATGTAAACCAGTAATGAACACAGCATACGAAACCATAGAATAAACACATCAAATACCATACTGCATTTAAAACTGTAAAATAGATCAAACAACAACTGACCGAAAAATACATCAGATTCGGGCTCCATTAATAACCTTAATTAATTATACACATGTATTAATTCATGAAATGTCATTTTATTATTTATTGAGCTTTAATAATGTGATAGGAAATAGGGTGAGAAATCCTTACTTGTTTGGGAGTCTGAAATCGGGTTCTCACTGCGCCTACGGGCTGTTCCTAAATTTACTGAATTTTTCTCCGGGAACTGAAATACACTTTCGGTACTTATACATGTCCCGAAAAAACTCAAATTCAGACTTAGGGCATACTCGAGCATTCTCGGAAACTCCGGCGTGGCAGCTCCGCCGTGCTCCGGCGATGGCGCCACCGCCCACAGCGGCGATCCGCATCGGGTTGGCCGTTTTCGATCGAATTCAGTCAAACTAGCATTGATTCATGCAATAAAACACCCCTAGGGCCATCAGTGGGGCAAAAAATTACGAAAAACTGAGATTTACCGGCGGCGGAGCTCTCGGGTGCAACGATTTCTTCGGCATGAGTCGCGATTTGATGTTTTGCTCCGCTCAACCTGTAGAGAAAATGACGGTGATCACAGTGGTGTAAAAATTACATCAAACAGGAATCAGGAAGGGCCTCATCGGAGGCAAAAACTGAGGGAAGCCGCGGCGGCGCCGCTGGACTTCGGCGGTGTTTTTCGGCCCATTGACCAGTGGTTTGGCTCCGATTTGGCCACATGTGGATTCGACATCGAAAAACGAGCACAGAGTAGAAATTTTACCTCGTTTGGCGGTCAAAAAATTCTCCAGTGTGACGGCGGGTGGCGGCGACCGACTCCCCCGGTGACTGGGTCGTCTTATCCGACGAGGGTACTGGCGGCTAGGGTTTAAGGTTGGGTGTGGGTGAAGTTATTTATAACCTTTCTTTTTTAATCTCAGCCGTCTATCACGATTTAATCTGAGCCATTCGATCGCAATTAAAATAGGAATAAATTTGGGCCGTCTGTACGCGTGAGATTTGGGTCGTCTGTGTGCGCTTTTGATCTGGGCCGCCTGTGCACGCGGGAACGGATCTGGGCCGTCCGATCGCGCGCACGCGGATTGGTCACGTGGCCCCGTCCCGCGTGGCTTCCTGCGTCAGCGTTCCTGCCACGCGGCGTGTCCTGATTGGCTTGGGCTGCTGACGTGGCGTATCTTTTTTAAATTGCGTTTTTACCTTCGATTTTCGATTTTCTTTTCAAAAACATACATAGAATCCAAATTTTCACTCATTTTTTCCAAAATTATTTTTAATTCATTCTCAAAAATAATTTTACCAAATTTTATCATTATTATTATTTTTATTTTTATTAAATTAAATTAAACATATAATTATTATAAAATAAATTAACTATTAAAATAAAATAAAATCTAAAAAAAATTTCAATACGAAAATAAAAATAGTTTTGGGGTGTTACAAAATTATCATAATTTTAGTAATAGTATGTTAGTTTGGTAAAATATTATAAACATCGAATCTGAATGTTTGTAATTTTGTGTATCTTATGTCTTTATTATTATTATTTTTTTATGAATATTATGTATAATTTGAAAAGGAATTCGTCTGAATAAAAAAAGTGGGATAAAGGGAGGAAAAAAACCCGAATGTGAGTGGCAATTTATGTAATTAAGAGAAGATAATGGGTATTTTGGTAAATGAGAAGGTCGAGACTTATCCATACCGTTTTGCCTATAAATCGAAAAAGACCCCCATTTCTTTCTTTCGTTCGTCTTTGAAAGAAATCTA